TGGTATATGCATCATCAAGAAAGTTCATAAGCTCAATATTTCGTAATTTCTTTAGATTACACTCTGATTTGTCCTATGGCATACTTGTCTCGCACATCTGAGTTATAAATACACACGTGCGAACCCCACACATACTGTACAACTACACCAACCTGTTTCAGCTGAGAAGTAAACTGTTGTGTCTGCGTTCTGTTCTCTTTTTGTTTATTGCAGTGTTCAGGGTAGCGTAACCAAGACAGAGGTAATTTAGTGGCGCTGATGTGGTTCAAGACTACTTGCTGGGGTCAACAACAACTGTTGTAAGAGACAACGCGAGGAATGCGTCTACGTTTAGCACACACCTTGCATCATTAAGTGTGTTTTAACGAATAACAGGAAAATAAGTCCAAAAATGTAAAACGGAATTTACCCACTCGAGAGAAAGTGAGCCAAGGGACCGTGATTAAAATAGTTACTACTTTGGAGATCACATGTCAACATGTGCAATTTTGAATTTCTTTTACTGATTTTTTAAAAAGATATTTAGATGTTAAGGATATCTGAATGGCTTAATGGACATTCTAGATGCGCAGTCTAGCATGTCTTTCAAATTGAGCTGGTGCATCGCATTCGGCAATCTAACCCTCAGGACCAATATTCTTCGAGAATTTCTGTTTACTTCCGTTTATTATAGACACCTGCTGATACAACTGTGAAATAAAGCACATGTTCTTAGCACTTTGCTGTCAACCATTTTTTGTTTATATCCAATCCGAATTACGCGAGTAAGAATTAATGCCTGAAATTTGCATACACCAGATATTCTTGTTTTAACCGCAGCGCTATTTTGGTATCACTTTTGTCTTGGCTGAAATGGAATCCGATTCGGACAACGAGGATATTCCGGTGAAGCGCAGAAAGGGTGGTTATGACACGGATGCTGCAAGTGAACGGTCAACTGCCTTGTCCGAAGACAATGATGAAGAAGAGGACGAGGAATATGACGATGATACCTCCCGAAAACATGGCAGAAGACGTCACCGAGACTTCAGAGACGTTAGGGTAAGATCGCTTCCAATACTACTTAAATATATTTGCATTTGTTCATTGGTTAATGTAAAATTTGGCAGAAATCTTTGTGTTTTGGGCCTCCGTCGCCACCTATTATCTAAAGGCAAAACATTATAATGCTTTAAGCGCTACTAAATCTGCACTCCTGGTAATGTAGGCAAACCTGAAGAATTTGTTTTTTTTTGTCCAAGCATTCTACTGAATAGGCAACTCTCATAGTCAAAGCACCTTAGCATTCCTTTAGAAATGGCCTTAGCAGTTTATGCCGGCATTAAGTTGCCTGGTAGCGTTCCTTCATATTCGTTGCGTGGAAGCAGTCAGCCCATACTCAAAGCTGCGGTTTTTGGCAAATTTGAGGTTGGCTTTTAAATGAATGGGGCCTCTGTGTGCGTATTTGTCTAATTTGCGTATTGGCATTGAGCCTTTAACAGGGAACTTCGTGTGAACTGATGTCTTAATTTAATGTGTGGTTAAAACACACTTAATTGTTCGGTACATGGTAATAGGATGTTTTGGCAATTTGGAAGGCAGGCAGTGAGTAAACTACTGCATATCCTCTGATTGTAAAATTTGCCAAGGTTATATATGTTCATGTAAATCACTCATCCACCGTGTTTAATTTTGTATTGTTGTGGAATGCTTCTCTTCATAGGATCTGGTTTGCGCTTGTCTTTTCATGTTATTACTCTTCTTGGAATAATATCAATTACCTCATTCCGCTTTTTGATCTAATATGATCTAGCTTGACTTAGTTGGCTGTTCCGTTTGCTGTGCTTTTGATGAAGGTAGTATTGTTAACGGCGATTTGAGTATTCACTTCCGGGTGCCTCTTCATGCTGAACTAAGTTTTGGCTTACCAAATCATAGTTCATTTCGGTCTCGATAGTGTTACTCTTAATTTCAATACTCCTCACTGTCTGCCATCTCGTCTCAAGTCTTTTTAAGCCCAGCGGTATGATATCTACTTATTGCTACTAGTAGCTTTTTTGTTTATCGAAGATATCACGATACAAATTAATTGTCCATTATTTGTGTTTAATCGACTGGTTTTAGAATCTCTTCATCGATGAAGCCGAAGCTGTGGATGAAGATGAAGAGGAAGAGGAAGACGATGGTGATGACGCAGAACTACTCGGCCACGAGGAAGTTGAGGCCATACAGTCGGCAATGACATCAGCCCGTGATCTAGAGGCCCGTGACAGAATGAAAGAGTTTACTGAACAAGACGTAGAATCTTTGGAACGTTATTTCCAACAGCGATACGAGTCACAAAATTACGCCTCTCATCGCTTTGGTGAGGGTGCTGGTATGACTGCCAGCATCATCCAACAGGAGCGGGTCCCCGGCATTAAGGATCCCAACCTTTGGGTTGTGAGATGCCAAATGGGCGAGGAAAAGGCTACAGTTCTGGTTCTGATGAGGAAGTTTATTGCCTACCAACTTTCAGATACGCCGCTGCAGATAAAGTCTGCTTTTGCCAAGGAGGGATTAAAGGGATACATATACATTGAAGCATTTAAACAGACGCACGTGAAACAAGCTATTGAGGGTATCAATGCTTTATCACGTGCACAGTTTGAACAAAAATTAGTTCCAATCAGCGAGATGACCGATGTAATGCGAGTTGTCAAGGAAACGGCTCAGCTGAAACCGAAGCAATGGGTTCGCATCAAAAGCGGCCTGTACAAGGACGATCTAGCTCAGGTACTACTTTTTTGACGTTGGGTTTCAAGTATTTGTCAAAAGTCGACACTCGAGGGTTTAGTTTTCATTTTAAAAAAATTCGCAACTTTTTTTAGTGTTTATGAGCGATTTTCTATCAATTTTGTTTCATTGTGTCCTGCCTGTATTTCACTGGCGCTCATTCATTCATTCATTCATGGGAAACACTGCCGCTTCCTTTTTCAGATGAGTTACGTTATTTCTACTAATGTCTATTCAATAGCAACATTTGCTACCTACTTGATACCGATCACCAGTAAATCTCGCTGAATTTTCTCTTCTCTAAAAATTCCTCATGCTTTTGTATCAATATACTTCAGTCGTTATACCTAGTCTTAAAATGTATTACAATCAAATTATGCATAATAGACAATGATTGTGATATTCAGAAAATTTAGTGTAATTACTAATTTGAGAACAGGATATGAGTAGGTTTGCTTTCAAGTTCCCTTGGTGTCTTATTTCTCTTGAAATTGATCCACTCTGTCCGCAAAAAGCAGCTAGGCCATATTAGGTATTTGGTTTCAAAAAGAATGTGAATGTAGGTATATGCAAAGAACGTTTTTTGTCTCGTAGGTGGAAAGCATCGAAGATGCTCAAAACCTTGTTTGGCTCAAGCTAGTCCCAAGAATCGATTATGATCGCAAGCGCAACCGATTTGGTGCCATCGGGGAAGAGGATGGGAAATCGAGTGGTGAACAAAAGGGTGCGTCGAGTGCTCGTAAGGGACGCTGGAAGCGGCCACCCGCCGTCCTATTTGATCCCGCGAAAGTGTCTGATCGGATCAGTAGTGCTGGCTCCTTTATACTTTTTGAAGGGAATCAGTATGATTCTGCTGGATTTCTTCGAAAGGATTTTCGAATGAATGCAGTCGTGAGTTTACTTTCTGTGTAACAGTTGCTCTGTAGTCGTTTATTCCTTTACCATAGTAGACTTACCCTACGTCTTTTATGTTAGAGTCTACAAGGGCAACTAGGAATGCATTTTTGTAGACGTCGAAGAAGGGGTGTTCTGTAAAGGCTATTTATGAACCAGTTGGATTAAGCTGTGAGTGTGTGATTAGCATTCGAAGCACAAGACTGAATCATTGTCGCAGCATCAACTTTTTGTAGATGGTTCGAAGCAGGGAACGGTTCAGGGTGACCGACTACAAGTAGGCTGCACAGCTACTAGTAAAAATAACTTTCAACAAATATCTAGCCAAGTAATAAAGGTCAATGAGAGCGTTTGGAGATTTATTCCTATCGTTATGATTGATTGATGTAATAATTGTCTACGTTTGATGAGGAGCGCTCATGAACAGTCTTTGGTAGATGTGTTGTTAGTTTGGATTTGAGCTATAAAACATAAACGTTATCCTTTTATAAGATACCATGTGTCCGTATGTAGATATTTGTAGATAGACATGGGATGCTGTGATCGATTTTTTTGCTGGTTACTACTGCATCTTAGTCCCATGAAACGTTGCCCATGTAATTTAGTAACTTAAATCTGATCTGAGCCTTCTACCTTTCCGGAACCACCTTAATTTTGGTAAACATTAGCAAATCCCTCTAAGTGCGGTGCAACTTGATCTAAACCTTGCTCTATTCGCGTAGTATTTCATTTTATAGACATACAGAACACCTCGTCGTTTTTACGAGATTTATGGCAACAGTACTGTATTGAAACACTGGAAACTTTTCTTTTGGACAAATGGATTTCCTCTATTGTTTTAGTCTTTGTTCGCTCGGATGTTTTAAGAAATTTGATACACATCATCCCAAAAGCGAGTGGTTTCTGGTTCCTGCGGCTTATTTTTACTTTCCATGACCTTATTGGGGAGTCACGGGGTTGGAAAAATATAGAGAATGAACTTAAACTCCCACTCGGAGAGAAGTAGCTTGGGGAGATGATGGTCAATGTGATTCCAGGTTCATGTTTAAAAGTTATGTCATCTCGATGCTTCACAAACCGCTTCCTATGTCACGTGTAGCAATTGTCTAAAACCCTGAAAGGTGCTACTTTGGATGCGTTGTTGGCTTTTTGATGTTGAAATGGCCAAGTTTTGCGGAACGGTTGTTTATAGTTTAACATGGAGCGGAAATTGTAAATGTATGTCATCGTTAATTGCTGCATCGTTTCAGAGCAATAATGCCTCCTTTTACTTGAATCCGCAAGCATTGGGTAGTTGTTTGAAATCAAAATAGTTTCCGCACAAATATGCGTGACCGCACTATTTACCGGACGGTTCATTACCCATAGTCTTACTTTAGTGCTTGCCTAGCATACTTACGAATCCTTGGTTAACTGAGCGTTCTTATTAATTTTGACGCCAAAACGTTCTCAGGTAACACACTTGGAAACTCCCATAGCTTCGCAAACTTTTCCACCAAATTATGTGTCTGGCGGCAGAAGTATATTGTTTCAGCCAATTTCGCAAAATGCTCAGGAGCTTGCACATTTTTGTTTGAGCCATCGGTTCCCTTCCTTAATCATTTAATAGCCTCTTCCTCTGATTACAGATTGCAGACGGAATCCGGCCAACACTGGCTGAATTGGAGCGTTTTAATCAGGTGCCCGATGGCGCTGAACTGGCTGCTGCTGCCGCAGCTGTTGCAACGAAGAATGCCACTTCAGCTAAACTTGGACCAAACGGGGAGATAGTATCCTCTGGTCATGGATTCATGCCCGGCGACGTTGTGGAGGTCTGCGAAGGGGATTTGAAAAATCTCCGTGGGAAGGTTGTCTCTGTAGAAATCGACGACAGGATCATTGTTCAGCCCAGTCACTCTGACCTACGTGAGCCGATTCCCTTCTCTCCAGTAGAATTACGGAAATATTTCAGCCAAGGCGATCATGTTAAGGTAAACTTGACCCTAGCCCTTCTTGTTTGTTTTATTTACCCAACTCTCTGCCCCATTAAACGCGTAGCGCGTGGGTTTGTTGAGTATCACCTCTCATAAAAATGGTGTTTTGTCGGCACAGTAAATAGTTATCCGGTTCCTGGATATTTACCTGCCTCTTATCAAAAGGACGATTTCTCTGCACACAGAGACAAATCATGGCTCACTTTCTTAGTCAGATAGTAGTCTTTTAAACTGAGCCTTTTGTAGTTTTATTATGACGTATTCTATGGGGATAAGAACGCACACATCACGAACCCCTCCCCAAATTTGATAGTAAATCAACACAAGGTCATGTGTTTCCTTGCTGTTTCCAGATTCTCAGTGGACGCTATGAGAATGAGACGGGTTTAGTTATCAAATTCCAGCCAGATTTATGCATTATTCTCGCTGACCAAAGCATGACTGAGCTCCCTGTGGCCCCAAAAGACCTTCGTCTTTGGCAAGACCGTACCGCCTCATCTGAGTCGAACGCGCCGGGTGGTTTACATATGATGGATTTTGTACAGATCGACTCACACACTTTTGGTGTGGTTACTCGTATCGATAAAGGACTCATCACCGTTCTGACATGTATGGGGAAGACCGTCACAGTCAAATCCAACACCGCACTCCGGGTCGTGAAATTGGGTGGTTCGCGGCGCGCTCCACCTCAAGCACTTGATCGTACGGGAAACGTAATTCAGGTAACCAAGATGCCAACTTTCTTTTAACTTGCAACCGCAGTTTTTTTTAAATTTTTCCTGGCCGTCTGTACACGAGGATTGTTTCCTTTTTTACTAGACTGTTGCTACTTGTGTACATGGCAGAGGTTACTGCAATAAGTAAACGTGTCCTAGTTCCTACACTTGGCTCATTATGGTATCAACAATTAGTACTTTTACCAAATCAGGCTAGATGATTTCCTTCAGGGCTTACTCTTCAGCTTAAAACTGCACTTAGTTTCAATCTGTTGTTGTATTTCGAACCTTATGCAACCATGACTTCATAATCTGCATGCTGTTTTTGCTACTTTTATAGATCAAAGACAGCGTACGTTTTTGTGACAAGGCCTATGAAAAGATGACTGGGGAGATCAAATGCATTTATCGCTCCTGGGTGTTTGTGCACTGCCAAACGCTCATGGAGAACGCTGGAATGCTCGTGGTAAAGTCTCGCCAGGTTGAGCGGATTGGTGGAGGTTCAAGTCAAGGTGCTGTTGGTGGTTTTGCTCAATCGGAGGCCAGAGTTTCTGCGGTTCAACCATTTTCAGGTGTCCGAGGTGGCAATCGTAGGGGACCTGATCAAGGAGACCGAAAAATGATTGGGAAAACTGCTCGCATTGTCGCGGTACGTATTTCAATCAATGGCTGTTCTGTGAACTTACCTTCAAGTGGTGGTCATGAGACTTAAGGTTCGAACCACCCATGCTCTCTGATACTGATTGGTATTCCTGTTGCCGTCGGTGAATTCCACAAAGACAAAATTAGGGCTTTTCATTGTATTATCACTTCGCACCCTTTTGGAGAGGCAGTTACCTGAGTGTTCGTCGTGCGAATAGTATGTGTGGTGTTTGATTTCTTCAGGGTACTCTCAAAGGTTTGACGGGAATCATCTGTGACGCAACGGTAAATGAGGTCCTCCTTGAACTACATTCGCAGTTTAAGAAGGTGCACGTTCTGCGGAAGAACGTTGCTCTCCTTGATAGCTCAGGCCACATAATTACCGGCCAGCTTGGTGCGACCCCAGCTACTCCAAGAGCAGCCTCTGTTCGGGAAGCTCGAACACCAGTGGTAAGGACGTTCAAATTTTGTTTATTTTTGCCACCTACCGCTCCAGAAGCCCACCATTTCACTTAGCAATTATGGTTCCAAGACGCATTCGGCAACTTTTGGTAACCTTTTTACCGTCGGTAAAAACACCTCATGTGTTGCAATTTGTATCCGTGGATGTTCTGAGTGTTGCACCTAGTAAGCTCGTAAATTCCACCTTAAATTTTCGTCTTATATTACCAACACTTTTCGGTCTTATAATGCTAGAACTGAAGCCGCTATGCGAGATTTAAGACGCCGCAGAACTGACATTGCACTTGCGTGATTCTGGGTGGCCAGTTGCTGGAGTGCTGGTGGTTTCTCTGAGGACACGAAAAGTTGCCTTTCAGTCATCAACTCATTGTCGATTTTCATTAGTCCATCTCTAAATAGAATTCTAATTGATAGGTGCCCAAGTTGTGCATAGTTGGCACTTGTTGATTCCTCTGTCTGTTACGCGTTGCTGGGTCTTGCCAGACATTCCCCCGGTTAAAAATGACCACTGGGAGTCCTTCCTTGTCCAGTCATTTTTACTTAAAACCCTGATTCTTCTTACAATTTTTGTTTCATGCACTTAACATGGCACTGTATTGAATCCAAATTCATCCAATCCGACAGCCTTTTCATCAAACGCAACGCAACAGACGTCACACACTTTCTCCACGGTTCAGGCGAAATCCTATGACCGGTCGGTTTTCGTCAGCATGTGCATCCATTTGCAAATGCAATGGTTCAAAAAATACTGAAAATGTGACCGTAATAAAAAAACCCTTAATTCCACATCTAGCTGCATTTTAGCGCGTTGATCTTGTTGGTTGCATCGTTTGCCTTATATTTGATGCCTTTCACCATTTTGCAAAGCCAAGGATTATCTTTTACGTGTGGTCGTTATTCGCGCGTTAATTTACGTCCTAAGTGCCGCATATCCCTGATTAATCCCCTGTGCGCGGTGAAGCAAGGGGTTTCGTAAGCCGGCTGCTTTTTACTTGAATTTCCTCTGCTCGGCCTATTTCCCTACTAAATGCGTTTTAAAGTGTAGGCCCTGTTAATTGCCTACAGTAATATTTTTTCCACTGCAATTTTAACTGCTCGAGACCGTGTTTTGTGATGTGCCATAAGCCGTGGATGGTTCTTCTGTTATGATGAGCAAAGGAATGACCCCTTTAACGTAAGTGCTTACTCGGCGAAGGTGTTTTCCGTTAAATGGAAGCAACTGCTGGATTCTCTAGTAGTTTTGGAACAACCACTGTGCCCCCAGAAGATCCTATTGAGTTGTGTAATTTGTATTTAATTGAATTCATTTTGGCTCTGAAATTTTCCCCATTTGACTCGCTATGTAATTTTCTTAATGCTATTACTTTTTCAGGCCGGTTCGATGACACCGCATGCGCCAAGCATGACTCCTCGTGCCGACGCTACACCCCTGCCTTACGCCTTTAATCCCAGTATGGCTACTCCCGCTCACTTCGTTAACGATGACGGCATGTCCACGTCGAGTAAGTTACCGCATTTTTTTTTCAAAAAAGCCCAACCTTTTGCTTATGCTCCCTTGAAACTGCAAGCAAATGCAGTCTAACCGATGTTGTTGCCTTTATTTTTCGGGTTTTTTTGATGGCCTAGTTATGCAGAATATCCGTGCCTTTGTTGCATTGAACACTTTTGGCTTAGAGTGAATTGGGCAATTTGGCGAATTGCTGAAATGTCTTGGACAAAAAAGACTACATCCGACTTTGCTGTTCACGTTTCCGTCATGGCGTCTTGGTATGATCGTCGAAGGGCATTACTGAGAGTCTACGAGTGGTTCTAGGTTTTTGTCGAGGTGTGGCACAGTTTTGTTTTTTAAGTCATACCGGTCATTGCTCGTCACAGCAAATGTGACTACTGTTGGACGCATTGCCGAGGAAGTGATAGAACCCTGCGGTATTGGGTGTCACCGAGGAGCGGAGCAATTAATGGGCATCCCTTCCAAGTACTTAGAATTTTAGCTGTCAACACTATGACATTCTGTCGCATCTAATTTTTATGCTTCTTCATATTAGGCTACCAACCGTGGCAAACACCGGACATTCACAGAACCCCAAGGTCGTCTCACTCAATGGCAGATGATTGATGTCAGCGCGTGTGGTCCCCACTTGTCTTCGGCTTATTCGCTACCTCTTATGGTCCCAATACCCACTGCAGACAATTTTTTGACTTCCATAAATAAAAGCATGTGAAAACGTCCAAAGTTATAGCCTTGGTGGAACCTGCGGTGGATTTAGTAATTAGTTGTCAAACCTTGTTGCGCCGTTTTCTGCCGTTTCTGTCTCCCGTCTTTTTGTTTTGCCCATTGTTCATTTGAACTAACATTTTGTCAACACTTGGACGATAGCTGCACGCCATCTCTGTAATAAGTCCTCTCTTACTGTCCAGTCTCGTATGGTCTTATTTTAAGCGACGTGTTCCAATCAAAGGCTTTGTGATTGCTGGAAGGACAAACAAGCCTAGCTAGAAGAGGCTTGGGGTTGTTGCTCTCCAGTGCACCAGCAACCCGATTGTGCTAGCCTTTGTCAATCTGTTTTACTGCGTTTATTCCTTTGATTTGATTGGAAAATCCCATCTTACTTATGGTTGCTGCGAAGTGGACTGGCTGCATTACGTCTTCGAGACTAGTCATGGTGGGTTGGTGGCTTTATCGGGGCTCCGCTATTTTCTGTCATGTTATGAACACGATTTAAACGACTGCAAGTCAATTACTAGAGCATGCGTTGCTATTTCCAATGGACTAGAAATGATTAGACCGGAAGCAATTTCTGTGCTTTCCGGATAATCTATCTGATGGGGATACTAACAGTTTTAGAAGCCTGCAACTTACTAAAGTCCTGACCTCGCAGTCCCACTTTTGCTCCATAAATAAACGCGAGTGGTGTTCAGTTCTGGCGTAGTCGAGATCAAAACGTGGATGGCCTGCTCTTTGTGGCGTGCCAGATTCGTTCTTGGTGTAGTGCGAAACCGAAACAAGCAGATGGTGGGCAATGGTTTTCGAATGCACCTTGCCTGATGTTGTTCCATGCAACGTAGATAATCCGACTAGCAAGGCCCCAACAGCTGTATTAAGGATCTAAAATCGGAGGTTTAACTACCATGGTATTTCTTTTTCGTGTCCACCACGAGTTCGCTAGCACCATCTTACACTTTGTAGACTCCACAGGTGGTCACTTGAGTGCTTTTTATTACTGGGAATTCTTAAGCGTCTTAGATTAGATCGGATCTTTATACTATTTCCCGTATATTTTAACATGCGTAGTACTTAGGGTGTGCTCTTATTGCTACGCGATGCCCTCTATAATGCAATGAAAAGTAAACAATGTCTATGCGTGTGAAATCGTATTATTGTTAGAAATCATTATCTAGGCGCAGTTTTATACCGGTCCCGTGGATAAACTGAACTGGTGGATCATTCTGGCGTTGGGAGTTTGCTTAGCTTCCAGCCAACCCAGCACATGACTGAAAACATTCCAATGTGGAGAAAGGCATCGATGATAAATATAGTCCCAGGGAAAATTGGCACCGTTGCAGTGTACAGAGATGTAAATAATACAGAACCAAAGAGGTTTGCGAACGTCTCGAGGACCGACATAAGTGCGAAGCTGGTTCCAATTTCTCCTGAGCTCGCCAACTTAGTGATTAACGATCGAATCGCGGAAATGATGTAGCCTGCAGAAGACCCAAGCACGGCGTAGATGAATATGAGCGGCGTATTGGTAGTCAGTGCTGTGCCTATTAGCCTTACAGACTTCATCGCCAAACCGAAAAGTATAAGACTGATATCAGAAGGCTTGAATACATGATCAATTAACGGAAAAATGACTATCAAATTGAAGGCCATTGAAGCGTAGTAAGTAGCTAAGTAGGCTCCATAAATCCCATCAGACCAACCTATTTCCTGGCGTACAAAAAAAAGCATGAGACTATCCTGTTCTCCTGCTTTTGTAACCTGATTGAATAGTACGGCTCCAAGCAAGATGCGCAGGTATGTGTGGCGTCCGTTGGGCCTCGTCTTCGTTACGTATTCCAACGATTGCTTGGATGAAGTCCTGATTGTTTGGAGACAACCGCCTTTCTCTTCACACTGTCCTTTCGTCTCCTGTGTTAGTGTCATTGTTGAACCGTAGTCTGTTTCTGCCATATCTGACGGCGTGACGGCAACGCTTTCTTTCACTACTACGACGAGCAGTATTAATATACCAGAGTTGACGACTGTGACGAAGAAAAGAGCCCAACCATAGGAGGAAAAGTAGTAGAAGACGGAGACCAACATCGAACCAACGCACAGACCCACAAAGTTGGTCCCCATAAGTCGACCTATTCGCGTTGTTCGTTCCTCCTCCGTACTGCAATCTGTTATGTAGCTGTGAGCTCCCATACCAAGAGCATTACTTTTACCACAGATTCCATAAATCAGAGCTCCTAAAAGAAGGCATACAACTTGGAAGGGAATAGGTGGATAACCAGGGGCGAGGCTAGCTCCAAAAAGGCAACAAGCTAGACATGCACCCATAATCGGTAAAATCATTGGGCCCTTGCGTCCATGTTGGTCTGACCAATTTCCAAGAATGAGACAAACAAACATTGCAGGAATATTAAGGAGACATCGGTAACCGATAATAAATGGGGCTGCCTTTCGCTGAATTGGACGATCTAATTCCCAATCAGTTGCATTGTTTGCCCCAAAGCTGTAACAGGTTGAATTGAGGTCCGAGCTAATAGTCTTTGTTACAAAGAAACAAATCACGTGGTAAATTTGAAGCCTAGTTGAAGTCTGCAGAAGTGTTTCTGTAATTTTGTAAATCGAGAAAATTAGGATAACTAAATCCGGAAGTCTTTTCTGAAACATGTATTGCTTCATCAAATGGAATCGTAACTGGAGTAATCACAAGACTCGGTTTTGTCCACGAAGATTACCAATCACGTGGAGGTTGTGTGCGGATTGGTTAAATGCAGCAGGAGTGTTTTACGCCTGTGAGCCTTTTAGAACCGCGCAAAAGGTGTCGCCGTGGTTTTCGTCGCTGTAGCACGGATTCGGAAGTGACACTGACGCCACTGGCTCCATTCATTAGCGAACACTCTCTTTCCTAAAACAATTACAATCTATTTACCTCCTTAGATTGTAACCTTAAATGTGCTTTAGAGTAAAAGGAAACTAAATCTAAGTTTAAATAATGAATGTCAAATTGAATATCAAATTTCCCCAGCCACTCCAAATAACAAAAAACAAAAAATGAAAAAAAAACAAATTTTGGAGAAAGGTTGAGCTACTACGCCGAACGG